CCTCATCCTCAAAGACAGCTTCTCAAGGGTAAGGGGTAGTCCATCTACACTCCAAATCCCCCATCATCTGACTTGGCAAACCTTTACATGCCCAACATAGCGTGCCAGGTGTAGCACTGCCTGCAAACCCAGCATCCCTGTGTTTTCCACAAGAACATGGAATAGGTGCTCAGTGGACTAGTGTGGATTAATCGCTCCTTAGCACCTAGAAGGCCACAGAGCTTCGTCTTTTCCTTTTCAAGGGACTCTTCTCATGCAAGTGCTGCACACAGAATGCTTCCATGACTGTCCTTCCAGGAGCTCTTATTACGCGCCAACTGCTGCTCCAACCAGAGCTTGGGGTGAACATGATGCTTACTTCACAGGATGATGGAGAGGTCTAAATGGCATAATGTGAGTGACTTGCTCACATTAGCTTCTACCACCATAATGATGAAGACCGCGATGATGATGGCAACTACTCAATTAGTTTTTAGAGGACATGAATTTGAGGTCTTCATGGAGTTATGCCTGACTGCAGCAGAACCAGAAACTCAAATCAGGAGAGTTTTGGCTCCTTCCAATCCAGTTGCAGAGCCACAGGCATCCCTTTGTTCCTGTAGGACCCTGGACAGACCAGGAAAGTGTATGGGTTACATGGGTACAGAGAGTGGCTGACATGTGCCTTTGGCTCCTCCCCATCTCCAACTCTCCTCACCCCAGCCCCCACATTGATCAGTTCTGTCTTATCTCCTCATGAAGCCCTGATCAGCTTTGCTTTTGGTTGGCTGCTAAGTAATTTCCTATCCCTTCCAGCCTCTGAGCCCCCAGTTTCCACTCTGGCCAGTAGATGACAAAAAAAGGTTTCAGATGATAACCTCCCCAAGCATGTTCTTTTCTCGTAGAGCGATGAGAATACCTTCAAATCTCCAAAGAGTGCATCCCTAAAGGTGGAATTTCAGTAGATGCTACTTATACTCTTTTATATGCAAGTGTTAAATGTATACATCTATGACCCATTTTCTTTCCAAAGACTGAAAGAGGCTTACACTAGGACATATTCAATGAACCTTAAGGATTAAAGAGAAAAGCTTAAGATCATATTGTGATCAGGTGGGGAAGGTGGGAGGGGGCAATAATATTCCCTAATCAGCCAGTGTGATTGGTGCAGCTAAGAATTCCATTGAACCCCAACCTGCCTGGTAAATGGGGCAAATCATCTGGGAAGGAGACCCATCCTTCAATTCCTGAACACGTAGCCATTGCTACCTGGAAAAGATGGCTCCGAGAGTTTTAATTAGGCATGAGGTAGGGCGAGATCAATAGCTTGTACCTTCTCTTGGAGGATGATGCTGGGGAAACAAGGCTCTGCAATAACTGGTCAGTTTCCAGAGAAGTGCTCAGTGCCATGAGGACGGATGTGGAAGCGCTGATGTGGTATAGTTCAGTGGACACACGGAGCAGCTTAGATGAATAGGGAGAGGGGTCTTACCTGAAAGAGAAAGAGGGCAGACAATTCCTTCATGGGGAGAATGTGTGTGTGTGTGTGTGTGTGTGTGTGTGTGTGTGTGAGAGTGTGTCTGTGTGTTGTGTGTGTATGTGCGTGTGTATCTGTGTGTGTTGTGTATGTGTGTGTCTGTGTGTATGTGTCTTGTGTATGTGTGTGTCTCTGTGTGTATGTGTGTTGTGCGTGTGTGTGTGTGGTGTGTGCATGTCTGTTGTGTGTGTGTATGTGTGTGTGTCTGTGTGTGTGTGTGTCTTGTGTATGTGTGTGTCTCTGTGTGTATGTGTGTTGTGTGTGTGTGTCTGTGTGTGTGTGTTGTGTGTGTCTGTGTATTTGTGTGTGTGCGTGCACACACCGACTCATGTCCAGACTCATGTCCAGGGTATTCTTTCTGCTATTAAAGCAAGAAACGATTTCCATTCTAAAGGTGACCCTCGTCCTCACTTGGAGCCTGGCCCTGGCCCTGGGTGCAAACCACAGTCGCCACAGCGGTGCTGTCCTCTCCCTTGCAGACATCTAAGACAAAGAAGACACACAGCTGAGGAAGGCGAGATGCCTTTTAAAAATTAGACAACATCTTTGAGGGTTTATTTCCTTTATCTCTAGACCTACATCCATTAACCTACACTCAGAGACAATCGCTGCCACTGTTCAGGAAGCCAGCTCAAATGGGTCGAAACTGCCATTGTATATCCAGGAACGACAGACACATGACAGAGATTTTTTTTAATGCCAGTTTCCAGGGAACCAGCTTCTGCTGAATGCAGCCTGATAGAAATTCAAGATAAAACTCTCACGGATTCTGCCCATCCATAAAGTGCCACTTAACAGACAATTTGCACCGTCTGTGAACCGCTCCCATCCGCTAAGCTTCTTTTTTAGCTGTTGTAAACTCTATCTCATCAAACTCTTATCTTTTACCTATACAGAGCCGTACTTTAAATGATAAATTTCAGGGAAAACGGAGGAGGGACGGCGTTTCAGGAATAACTGGGACCAGGGAGATGAGTGTCTTAGGAAGATGAAGATCTGAGTCCTGAACCGTGACTCATGGGAATCTGGCTGATCTTCGCTCTCACAGGACTTCTCGCTGCTATGACACATTTGCACGGTGACTCCTGGTTCTTTTCCAGGCATCAATGTGAATGTCCATTTTCTTTTGGAATGGTTGTCTCTTGAAACTGTTACAATACACATGGGTTTTCTTTTCTGACTTTTCTTGTAAGTTGCTGCCTATAAGAAAGGGGGAGAAGAGAGAGAGAATGAGAGAGAGATTGTCTTCCAAAGGTTGTTTTCTTACCCTCTGTTGCTTAAACAATCATTTTCTGTGTTATTGAGGAAAACCCAAAGCTGTCAGCTTCCCTGGACTTCAGGTCTCCAGCAAACTCACCTCCTCCCTCCCTTGGTTTCACCCCCATCTGCTTATAATTTAATGTTCTGTATGTTTTAATCATTTCATTAGGCATGTCCTTATTTTGAAATGCAACTAATTCTTCAGTTCAAACAAACAGCCAGTAATTCTAAAAATGAAACCATTCTTTTCTTTCGGTTAGACATTGGCTTAGAAGAAATATCACACCTATTTTGAGATGGGCGAAAGAACTCAAATGCCACTAGTTTTTTTTAAACCACTGGCTTTTAAAAGTGGAAATGATCTTAGAGATTGCTTCATTTTCTCCACAGATATGGAACTAACTTTTGGGAATGTTTTCTCGTGTCTTTTTGAACAGTTTGTGATAAAGTCATTCTTATTAAGGTTTCTCTTAATATGGATTTGTAAAAATTATGTCATAAAATACTTCATTTCTGTACTCGGTGACAATGGACACGAAAGAGAAAGTGACTCCACTATAGGACTTGTATGCTTATTAATTTATTTTCTTTACAGGAATTTACATTTATTAAGGCAAGGAGAATCATATTTTTCTATAAGGGGAAAGATAGTTTGCAAGGTGTTTCATGTGATTTTCCCCCTGACACTCAGATTTATTCTATATCAAGAAATGAAGCTTCTGGGCCAGGCGTGGTGGCTCACGCCTGTAATCCCAGCACTTTGGGAGGCCTAGGCAGGTGAATCACCTGAGGTCAGGAGCTCGAGACCAACCTGACCAACATGGAGAAACCCCATCTCTATTAAAAATACAAAATTAGCCAGGCATGGTGGTGCACACCTGTAATCACAGCTACTCAGGAGGCTGAGGCAGGAGATCTACTGAACCTGTGAGGCAGAGGTTGTGGTGAGCTGAGATCACGCCATCACACTCCAGCCTGGGCAAAAAGAGCAAAACTCCATCTCAAAAGAAAAAAAAAGCTTCTGAAATTGCAGGAGCGTACAACTGCCCCCTTTATTTACGGGGGATACATTCTTCCAAGACCCCCAGTGGATGCCTGAAACTGCAATAGTACCAAACCCTACATATACTGTGCATGAATTTCTTTTTTTCCTTACCATTCTTGGGTAGGCTGGTCCAAGGGCAGTGGTGTTTACAACTAATTGATCACAATCCGTGGGTAGAAGATTCATTCTTACTGTAGATCTTAGCAATGTCAGCATATAATTTTTTTCTTTCCTTATTAAGTTGATAACTTTCACCTTTTCACTTCAAGGAAGCATTTTATGGCTTCTTTTTCGGCATATGCAAATTGCCAGCATCATTACTCTCATGTTTTGAGGCCATTATATAACAGAATAAGGGTTACTTGAACACAAAGCACTGGGAAACGGTGACAGTCGATGTGATAACTGAGATGGCCAGCGTGTGACTGACGGGAAGGTTCCTTAGACAGTGTGGATATGCTGGACAAAGAGAAGATTCCCCTCCCAGGTGGGACAGAGCAAGAGGGTGATTTCAGCACGCAACTGAGAATGACACGCAATTTACAACTTATGAATTGCTTATTTCTGAAATTTTCCCTTTAATTTTTGGGGGCCACAACTGACCACAGGTAAGTGAAACCACAGAAAAGAAAACCTCAGAGAAGGAGGAGCTAATGTATTTAGTTTTAACATTATATCAATGACCCAACTGGGCAACATGAAAAGTCTTTATTTTCTGATACTTGCATTACTTTCTGGTAATAAAATGTCCTTTCAGTATTTTAGAAGAATGAGTCACATTTCGCACATAGTACTAGACACTTAATAGATGTTTGTTGAAACATTCGTAGATAAGTGGGTAGATACACGCTGACATTTAACGATGTGCCTTATAATTCAGCTTTAAGTGCCAATGTTTATTAACGGTGATGCATAAATACGATAGCACAGATTCTGATATAACCCCCTCACTGAAAATTTCCCCCTACTTCCAAAACGTAAACCGGGACCATTTAAGTTTCCATATAAGGATTGAACTGATAACAACGTAATAGTGAAGTTGTCTTGGACCAATTGTTGGAGGAGGCCTTTGGTACCTTTATGGAGAACGGGAAGCCTTTGCGTGTGGCTGACACAAATGGTTGTCACACGCCATCTAGTGGCCATCTGTGAAACTGTGCCTATGCCGTGGGAAAGGCTTTTGGAACGAGCTTGATTGCTCCGAATTTCAGTGCCTATCGGACAGCCAGGGAACATTTGTCCATTTTTAAGGCATTAAACTGAGAAGAACCACTGAGGAAAGCATGCCACGGTCTTTCCCAAAATCCCTGTGTCTTAAGGAACAACCAAGAAGTTAACTGGTCAGGGAAAAGATTTCTTTTGGGATTCAGGTAAGCAAAACCAAGACGCCGCCGGAGACACCCTTGCCTGCAACAGTTGTGGTACAAAGCAAGGTAAGTAGCGTGATAATCACTGCTTTTTGTCCCACAGAAGCCATCGCTGTGTGCAGAAATCCATGACCTGCCCATGACTTCTACAACCCGGAGGACTTGCCTGACATTACTGAAATGCACAGGGGACAGATTCTGTGGCAGGTGCCGCATTTTATCCAGCTCACTCGTGCTAGTTCCTAAGACATCTTAATTCTTACACGTACGCATAATCGTGATATTTTGCCATGAATTACAATATGTTCCACAATTATCGACTATTTTAATTTTTAACTTTCTAGCCTGGGACTACTATAATAAAAAGAATTAATAAATCCAAAAGTAGTAGTGGAAAAAATAAATGTCTCCAGGTTTATTCCTGTAAAGTTAATTAGTTAATACAGAGTGAGGACTCTAAGAGTTTGGGGTTTTTTGTTTGTTTTTGTTTTTTGTTTTGTTTTGTTTTGTTTTGCGTTAAGTATCAGCATTAAGTATCTTCAAGACAATTCAAAATAAGATGAATCAGATGATAAGTCATTTAGTTGTAAATTTCACAAAAATAATTAAATACACAGTGTCGGACTACAGCGGAACAGTGGGAAGAACATTCAGTATTTGAGAGTAAACAACCCAAATTAAGATAAGTTGTTTAGGAATCTCACAGACAGGAACATTTTTCTCTCTGGTTTTCCATGGTAGCATGTTTACAGTACTTGAAAAATGTTGCTTTCAAGTCATGTTAACTGCTTCTTAAGACCATCAAATAAGAAATGATATAGCTTATTAGTTCCAAAATAGAAAATCCCATAACATCATTTCCTCTTCATGTTAAGGTTAATTTCCATTATAAATATACCCTTTCAGTATAAAATGCTCAACCTCAAAACATACCAGCTTTTGCCTTTTGAACTATAATCCTGATCCATAAATGGTGATAGAGCTTCAGCTACATCTCAAACATTTATGTTCCACTCTCTTTATCAAAGAGTGATTTATTTTAAGAGAAAAATTTATCAATGTAAGGTATCTGAAATGTTCATTTTTTAAAAAAAGGCTATAAACAAGTAGCAAGAAGAAGAATATGGTTTTCTATGGGTTACGTTACATATCAAAAAATCCTAAAATATTTCATCACTTTGATGCACTATTCTCAATTTTTAAAAACTCATTGTCTGAAAGTGAGATAGATATTTTAATGATAATATGTAAAAATAAACCAGATGTACGGTCTTGGATCTCTGTCGTTGCCTATATATTTAGATGTCTACCAAAAAAAATCCAGATTTTCTGCTTTTCTCAATCTCAAATGTTCAAAATGACTACATTTTCTAGAATATTTACCTATTGGCTGATTGTTATTGTTGAAAAGGAAATCAAACTAATTTTGGCAATATTGTACCTTACTACAAATCCTGTTTGTACTATGAGAGTGGAGAAAAATAAAATTTGCAGAATTCCAGTCTCTAGCCATTGGCATTTTCCGGGATTTCTTGTTTTCTATGTATTGAGTCCCCTGTGCATATGGGAAGCTCAGCTGAGGACTAAGGCAAACTATTTTCCCCACAAGCCAACATGTCGCCACTAAAAATATACCTAAAAATAAACATAAATAACATGTAAAAGTGCTCTGTCCTCAACAAAGCAGAAGGGTGAGATAAAGCCGTCTGTAGTTGCCGTGACATTCTGACCAGTCCAGTAGAAATCGCATGATTCTTTAGAATATCTTACTCTCTATCTAACTCTTTCCTCTATCCACTTTGTAGCGATATTGCTGGGATAGCCTGAGACAATTTCAGAGAGGTTTGGGGCTCAGGAAGACATAAATGCAATGCATTGTTTTGCACGATCTGGCTGGAAGGGTGTAGTGCGAAGTAAAATTAAGACCTCCTCCTTTATTGTGAGGCACAGTTGGGCTGTTTGATCTCTAAGTCCTCGGGTAATTGGAGTCTACACAGCCTGTGGATTTGGGTCCTGAGCAGCTCACCCTCATGCCCAAAGCCCACCGCTGACCTGCCTGGGGCACCATTTATCCCCACCCAACCCCCACCAAACACACACACACCAGATTCAGCTTGTATTCAAGGTTCTGCCTTGAACACAGGCATTGTTTCCAAGCTGAGAAAACGATGATGTGGAAATTCTAATGGAAGGAAGACATACTGTTTGTTATCAGGTACACAAAAGTAAACAGAAATGATCCTGGGGTCTAAGCAGCCCCCTGCATTTGGGAGATTCCCTCATCACATTCCACAACCCTCCTTTCAATAACGGTGGTTTTCTGATCCAACTTCACTATCACAGGCTTATTTTTTCACACTGAATTTCCATGCGATCCACCTGTCCACCTTAGATCACTGTGCGCTCGTCCTCCTCTGGGCCTGTGAGGTACCAATGGTTGCTTTACACTCCATTCATTCAACAAATATTTACTGGACACCTACCGTGCACCAAGCACTCAGCTAGCTGGGAGCCCTGTGGTGAATAGTAGTGACATGCTTCTCAACAAGGATGGCGATAAACTGACCCAGCTTGCCCAGAACGGAAGAGATTTTCAAGACATGGTGCTTTCGGCTTTTAAAGTAGTATAGTCCCGGACAAACGGGGGCAAGTTGGTCACCCTATAATGATTCTAGCACATACTGTCTTCCATGGCTTCTCGTCGTCTTAGAAAGAAGTTTGTGCCCCTGTTCACAAAGCAGAGTCCTTCACACGTGTTTTCAGATCTACTATCTAGAAGCTCTGCATGTTTGAGCTAGGCAGAGCTATCGCAGTTAGCCCAGCCACATGCTTCCTTGCCTTAATCACCATGGGGTAGACCCACGTTTGAGGAGCCTGAAGTTTATACAATCCGAGGGGTGGCGGGGGGCAATGCTCTCTTTAAGAAAAAGAAGACAAAATTATCAATACGGAATACAGAGCCTTGAGGGAGGGAACTTGCAAGACAGGACCCTGAAGCTTAAGCTTCCTTAGCTTCTCCAACAATCCTCCTTTATTTAAAATAATAATAATGAGCAGTTAACATTAACTCGTTTAATCCTCACAGGTGGGGTCATTATTTCCATTTTGCAGATGAGAAACTTGAGGTCCCAGGAGTTTGGGTAACTTGTCTTTGGTCATCCACCAAAGTTGGATTTTTTTTTCCTTTTTTTTTTTTTTGAGATGGAGTCTCGCTCTGTCACCCAGGCTGGAGTGCAGTGGCGCGATCTCGTCTCACTGCAAGCTCTGCCTCCAGGGTTGATGCCATTCTCCTGCCTCAGCCTCCCAAGTAGCTGGGACTACAGGTGCCCACCATCACACCTGGCTAATTGTTTTGTATTTTTAGTAGAGATGGGGTTTCACCGTGTTAGCCAGGATGGTCTTGATCTCCTGACTTCGTGATCTGCCCGTCTCAGCCTCCCAAAGTGCTGGGATTACAGGCGTGAGCCACCACGCCCAGCCTGGAAATGTTGACTGGACAGGGGAAGTAAAGATTCAGCCTGCTGGAGGAAGCAAAACTTGCAAAACACAATCTCCTGCTAGGAATTCAACCAACTCTGTTGGTTTAAAACTCAAATCCTTCAAGAACCAGCCAGTCAAAGTGTGTGGGCCCTGAGAGCTTTTGGGTGGAAGGAAGCTTAGAAGAAGCCTGTGTGTGTGTGGCTCTCAGCAAATGAATGTACTCTGTCCACGTCACGCATCTCTCTAGAGAATGATGGGAGTTGTGATCTGTACTTCCGTGTGCATAATGGTTGTACCTGGGTCTCTCCCTGTCCCTGCTCCAGTAAGGCACTGGATCCTCCCAAGTCCATGGGTGAGCCTGTGAGAGATCGTCTTCTGGCCTTGTTTTTTTCTTTTGTTTTTTTTTTTTTAGCACAACCCATTTTCTACTTCTTCACTTCCCTTCTTGGTGCTTAGCCTGTTCCAGCCGCACTGTCAACATGCCTTGGTCCATAGCTCTGGAAGGCACCCACCAAGCAGGGGCAGTGAACAGAAGATGAGGAGGGTACACTTTGACACCTGGGTTGGAAACCCGGCTCCGTGACCTAGGACCAGTCACTTAACTTCTGTGCCTCGGTTTCCCCATTCTGTCGACTGGGGATGATGAGAGTATATGTCTCACTGGGTTGTAGTGAGGAATGAATGAGGAAGTACAAATGCTGTGCCTAAAGCAGGGCATGGTGCACAGTAGTACGATAAGTGTCATTATTATCATCATCCAATTATCATGATTTCTGGCAAGTGGGCACTTCCGTTCAGAAATCTCAGTGAGGAGACGGGACCGTACAAGAATACAGGCTGAGCATTTGAATGGCCATTTCCATTGAGAATCAACGGTGACTTATTTTGCAAGTCCCCATCCCCTCAATTGTCTCCCATCGAAGTGGGCTCATGGTTTAGTCCGTCTGTCCATGGGCCCCATGCTTTCCCTAGAAATGACGCATAAAATAGCACCTCTTAGGCTCACATCAATTGCTAATTAAAATGGCGTTACCCCTTAATAGGTTGCAAAGCAGGACTCTCATTTCCCCACTGTGCATTTCCGAAGGCCGGACCCGGGCATCGACCCATCTGGGGTGACTGAGGCTCTCGGGAGAGGGAAACTGGGCGTAGGACAATAAGTTAGGCAACTTCAGAATCTGCACATTGTTCTTGACAAATAACAATATAATAAAGCCAGAAACGTGCTTGCACCCATCAGTCACAGGTGCTGATAATAGTTCACCTAATTACTTCATTATTTTTTGCCACTCCACAGAGCAGTTTGTATTTACAATCCTGTATATGGTTCTATTACTACCACTTATTGTGACGATTCCAGCAATTCCGAGGAGTCTCGGAGGGCCTAGACAAGTACAATCTTGTTTTTCTTGATTTCCCCTGGGGGGTGGGAGGTGGGAGGAGGTAGAGAGAGGAGGGGTTCAGAGGAAAAGCATCCAGACAGCATCAACCCACAATTGCTTATCTCGGATGAGTGATAAATGATGGGTGATTTTTGAAACGCTAGAATTTTCAAACAAAACAAACATATCCTATCCTATTAGTTACCAGGCAAGCCTATAACACAGTAAGAAAGGGAGAAAGACAGGGTTGGGCTGCCCTGGGCCGGCACCCATGCTGGAGAAGTGACCAGGACCCTGGCTTGGCATCATTACATTGGAAGCCGAGCTGGAAACCATCCCTAGGGACTTGTCCTAATGAACACGGGCCACAAATTAACAAAGTTGGGTGGGAAAAACATTGTGAATTTTAGTCACTTGAGCATCGGTAAATCTGCTAGAAGTCAGGGCTGATTGCTTGTAGCTTGTTAAGATGTTGATTGTTTATAAATTACGTTTTCCCTTGAAAAAGCAGGCACCTCTCAGCGGCTCCTTGCCACCGGTCCCTTGCTGGGTGCTTCCCACCAGGGACAAAGGCTGCCTGCTGTTCGCTGATCTAATTGGTGCAGCTCTAGACTCTGCAGCCCCCTTGCTGCACTCTGCCCCTTCTCTCCCTTCTACATTTTGAAATCTTTCTTAAACCCAGTCCTCCTACCAGCGGTGGTGTCAGACAGGTACTGGACTGTGCACACCCTGTGTTTTCTCATGATTTGCAGCTACCTGGAGGAGTGAAAGCTGAGTGCAAAATTGCCTTGTGAGAGCTGCTTTCCAGTTTAAATCACTTCCCAGTTTAAATTAATTCATTCATTCAATTCATTCATTCATTCATTCATTCATTCATTCGACTTGTAACTTGAACGAATGAATGAATGAATGAATGCACCAGCACCGATCTGGTTGTCCATGCCAGGCAGCTGCTGGAGCTGCAGAGACAGATTACAGAGAGTCAGGGGCTCACAAGCGCAGGCTTGGTTTGCAGGCACATCACTCCAATCTCTGCCTTCATCATCACATGGTGCTATGGGCTGAACTGTGTCCCAGTCCCCAATTCATATGTTGAAGTCCTAAACCCTAATACCTGAGAATGTGACTGCATTTGGAGATAGGGCCTTTAAAGAGGTAATTAATTTATAATGGGGTTGTTAGGGTGAACTCTAATCCAATATGATTGGTGTCCTTGTAGGAAGAGATTAGGACACAAACAACAGACAGCAGGTGACCACAGGAGGACACAGTGAGAAGCCGGCCATCTGCAAGCCAAGGAGAGAGGCCTCGGGAGAAACCGAACCTGCCAGCACCTTGATCTTAGACTTCCAGCCCTCCGAACAGTGAGGAAATAAATCTCTGTTGTTCACGCCACCAGTCTGCAGTGTTTTGGTATGGCCACTCCAGCAGACTAATACACATGGCACTGTCCCCGTGTGTCTGTGTATCTCTTCTAATAAGTCCCACCTTTGGCCAGGTGTGGTGGCTCACGCCTGTAATCCCAACACTTTGGGAGGCTGAGAAGGGCAGATCTCTTGAGATCAAGAGTTTGAGACCAGCCTGGCCAACATGGTGAAACCCCATCTCTACTAAAAATACAAAAATTAGCCAGGCATGG